TGTCGCGAAAGCAAATTTTTGCTTACAGTTTATCGCGATGTGCCCTTTCTCTTTGCAGTTGTAGCAGATTAGCGGCTGCCGTGCTTCAAAAGCCCGTGTGGTATCAGTGCGTTGTTTAAGAACTTCACTCGATTTCTCCGCTTGTGTTTGCCCTTCCCCTACCGTGTCCTTAATAACACACGGATATTTCCTAAAATTATGGTGCGAAGTGGATTTCCGTTGATTAGGTTTCTTTGAATTTTCTGTTTCCAAATTTTCACCGTGCACTGCCCCACTATGCAACTTTTGGTGAGTATGATACTCCTCAGCTAACTGTGCTGCCTTGTTTAGCTGTACTTCGCCAAGCTTGTCCTGCAGCCGAAACTTGACGTCATCCTCAACGCAGCAGTAGAATTGTTCGAATGCAATGTATTCTGTTACCTTATCGCGATCGTCGTGAACATCTTCGCTCTTGAATCATTCAATTAAAGCAGCTTTAAGACAAAGGGCGAAGTCAACGCGTGGCTCATTCCCCTTTTTAGCATACCTTAACCTTGGCCACAAAGCCTCGGGTGACAACTTATAACGTATCAAAGGCGTTTCCTTAATTTCGTCAAAACTCTCCAATGGTTCCCTCGATAAGCACGTTATTACCTCGGACACTTCGCCGAGATGAAGAGCTAACAAGTTCTGCGCCCAAAGAGACCACTCCAAGGCAATTCACTCATAGACGTGTTCGAGCTCCGTCATGTCTTCGCCTACTACGAACCGTGGCAGTTGGTCGCAAATTCTCTGACTGCTGACCTGAACTATTGAAGACGCTACGCTAGGCACCTGGGAACACTGGAGGATTGCCAATTATATTAGTTTCAATTCAAGGTGCTCCTGTCTCTCGGCCTCCTCGTGGCGTTCTCGCCCTTAAGCTTTTTCACGTTCGCGATTTTATCGCCTTTCAGCTTCTTTGCGTTTGCGAACTCCTACTTCTCGCCTTTCAGCCTCCTTGCGGCGTGCTTTGATATCCGTGCAGACCTCATCGACTTCCTCAGCCGTCACCCCTTCATCTTTCATGATCTCAAGGATCGCTTGCTTTCCTTTCGCGCGGCCCAAAGTAACGCCACGTTTCTCACAAATTTCGATGAGTTCTTTCAATTTAAGGTGTTTCTTTGTTCACACTAGCCTCTTGCTGTTTGCAACTCTAAGGGGTCTACTTGCTGTACCAATTTAGAGGCGACTAGCAAGACGCGCAAGCAATTTTTAACACTGCCATATTTACACCCTCCACATTATTTTGGCTTCAAAGCACTCCGACTTGGCTTGAAACGATCAAAGCTCACTCTGATGCTTTAAACAATCCTTCTCTAAACTACAATAACCTGTGCTGGAGTAGTCTTGTGAACTGAAGCGAAAACACAAGGCACTCACCGCATCAATGTCGCTGACGCCGGCCGATCCCGCAGCTGCCATCTACTGCTACAAGGCGCGACGCCAACAACATGGTCCCGAAGGCGCCACTGCTACAAAGCTCGCCGCTTACAAGGACGCTGGCCACGCCGACAGCATGCGGACTCGAAGAACTGAGATGTCTTTTCTCTGACGCATATGTCGGCTTCTTCGCGAAGCGCCACTTGGTTCTTCATAGGCCCCGAGTTGATGGCTTAAGTCAGCAACGTGCAATGGGAACTGCCGTCGGTCTCGTTAGAATCGTCCGATTGGGACCCGCCGCTGGTTGGCACCATAATCCTCCAATCTGGAGCAGCTACGCTGCGTTGCACCAAAGGACTAGTGAGATAGCAACGCAATGCGTAACACTCGCCAGACTGAATGGCGACGATGAACCATCTGGTTGGAGCTGGACCCATCCGTGGAGAGAGCTGCCCGTGCGTTGTGCAAGACACACCAGCGCCACTGGACTAGGCGACGTCGTTAAGGAGAAGGCATCAGGCGGGCTCCCTCACTGGCATTGACAAAGATTGCTTTTGTAGAGACAATGACGTTCGGTGTGGGTTCCAAGGCGTTACAAGAGACAGCTGCAAGCCCAAGCAAACTTTAGGAATTCAGGAAAAAATCATCTTGTCTTACAGAGGTAGCTATATCTGTGCTCCATTCTGACAAGTTAACCTGATGGTACGCTGTTGCAAGTTCTTGCTTTGAAAAGTAACCAGCACCGGTATGTACTGGTGAAGTTCTTAGATGGGGGGTAAAGGAAATCGCCAACGACAAAGGCATTGTTTAGTTCACGCAAGTACACAGAGTCTTACGGAATCGTTTTTTCTTTTCACCACTACCAGTTGAGAGACCCAATGTGATGCTGAAACTTGTTCGATGACGCCTGATTTTTGAAGACGAGAAAGTTCATTGGAGACTTGTTGTCGAAGCAGGAATGGCAATCTGCGAAGTTTGGCAGCAACTGACTGCACACCTGGAAGGTATTTCACTTCGTGCACGTAGCCTTTCACCAGTACGAGTTCCTGAGTGAAGAGTTGATGAAATTCAGAAGGTGTATTGGCAGGAATTTTTGGGGTTTTCGAATTTCAAATATGTGAGCCGGAAAATGTTGTATCATGGATGGTTATGTGGAGGCTTCCAATGGCATCTAACCCAAGAAGTGAAGAAGCCTCTTTTGTCACGTAAAATGTGACAGGAGCGGTGGCATTATCATACCGAACGTTTGTAGAGAAGTGTTCGAGGTTGGGAATACAATTCTTCGTATAGTCCTGAACAACAACGTATGAGTCTAGTAGTCTGGTCCCCGAAAAGTACTTCGTGAAATTTTGTAAATAAACAATGATACGGTTGCACCGGTGTCAACGAGTCTTCTTCAGATCCACCTCTGTAGCAAACACCCGATTAAGATCGGTGTGATCCATCCTGGTGGCTTGCAAAATTTGATGTAGTAGGACAGTGGTCGTGATGCCCACGGGCAGGGTGGCTGCCTACCGTGTTCCGTCGGGGAGGCTGTGGGCCATACTTTGGTTTTTGGTGGCAATCTTGGGGACCTGGATGTAATCTGATCTTCTCAACTTGTGTGTTTGCGAATTCCTGCATTTCGAGCTCAGTACGTTCCTCTTCCATCGCAATTTGAACTGATCGCTGCGAATTCAGGGTACTGCCCAGTTGCAGGAGTCATCTTCCCACATTTTATGCAGTTATTTTGCTGAACAGCTGATCGCTGACTATGAAATTTGCGAAAGCGCCGAAGTTGCATTTGCTTGCCATTGCGTTTAAAGCAGAAACCTAGTCAGTAACTGATTCCCCCAGCATTTGCTTGTGCATTTTGAAGTAATGACGCTCTAGGACTTCATTGCTGGGAGCTTCGAAATGGTTCTCCAGTAGTGTGACAGCTGCGATGTATTCAACTTGCGTGCCTTCGTCCAGAGTCCCGTCTCCGCTTTCCGCCTAGTATTGTAAATTTCGTAGTACCCGGTAGACATCAAGGCCCTCCACTCCGAGTGCGTTAAGTAGTAGACTGTTCTTGAGAACGGGCCGGGTGGTGTCTCCACGAGCGACGTCGACGTATGGCTGAAAGGCACGACGCCATTTGGCCAAAGGCACGGGAGGGGCACCCGGAGTTTGCAAGAACAGTGGAGGAGCAATCATGGAAGTCATGCCAGAACCTTGAGCACTGAGGAGTCGCAGTCGTCAGTATGCGTTGGTGAGTCACAGGTGCCAGCAAGTATTGGCCGAACTTTCAGGGGTGACCGAAGTAGGCCTAACGCATTTGCAACGTGCAAGTAGAGCGGTGCCCTAAATATGCACCCGAAAATGTGGCAATCTGCACAGGGAACCGGTGTAGGAGGCCGATAAAGTACGTAAGCTGCTTACTTCTTTTTCATATCGTCGCCAGTTTGTTGTATCGTCGCCGGGGCACCACCCTACCGAGGCAATGGGTGCGTTAGCACCAGAGCGCTGTGATGAAGGTTACGCTAGGCTGAGAACAGGGAGAGGACTTTTTATTCAGAGAGCGCGCATTGGCGCGTAACAATGATTACCATTATAGCCGTTGTGTGGCGCAATGCGACACAATCCATCGAAACCGAAACTGATTCAAGGTCATGAAATGTCCAAAACAACACACAAGAAGGGATTCAGAAAGGCTCACAAAGTGCTTTATCTGTCCACATTTGCTTTTTATTGATTCCCAGTATTTTGTGCGAATCAGTCGCAATCAGGATTACGCACCAACAAGCCCAACTTGAAATCCTTCTGGAGCGGACCTTTCCATAGAGGCACATCGATGTGACGCTAGTTTGCGTTAACTTGTAGTAACTTGTGGTAAACATTAACTTGTAGAAAACATTAACTTTGTAGTAAACATCAGTGAGGATTCTGGGATTATTGCTCAACAGACCATAACAGTTTCACAAGAACGACTAAAGTCGTCGTAATTCGTAGAATATTTTATTTACATAACTAGAAGAAATGCATAGGACGAATGCGTCCAGGATAATTGTCTCACACGGTTTGACGAGAGGCGTGCCGCAGTACTGGAGATAAAGCTAATGTTTGTTTATAAATTGAAACCAACTTTGGTTGCAACCGAACGTCGTATCATGCGTTTTCTGCATAGCGTCAAATGTACAGAGATACTGAAGGATATTATCCTGAAATGCCTAAATGTTACTCATATGCAAATGCCAAATCTGAAAAAAATATAGATAAAGTTTAGCAACTGCGAAGCACTGATTGGCATTGCTGTTTATTAGTATGAACATGAAGCACAATATAAGCAAGACTGATGCATATACACTGTACGCTCTCCATTTCGTGCCACTCCTGGATCGCAGAGTTGCCAAAAAACTAAGCATGTTGCCAGGGTGTTTTTTGTTTACTAAGAAATCACGCGAGGCAGCCTCACTACATCTGCTTCTGAAGTGAACATATAATAAGTGAGAAGCTAAAGAAACTTCGGCGGCAAGTTTTATCGGGCCGCAATAGAGTTGAGTATTGTGATAGCTGAGAAGAGTATCACTGACGTTTTCTTCTAATGTCTTCAGATGTATTCATTTAGCTAGAAGATTGCGTTCATTTTCCAATAAATATATTCTTCTGGCACACTGAGCTGTAAATAGATCTTCCGTGGCGGGCAAGCCAGCCGAAATGTCTCGTGCAGCCGAGGTCAATATCTGATTCAACCGAAGAATTTCTCACTCGAAGATCATAATAGATGATTCGTCCTGGAAGCACGAAAAGAACAGACTTTCATGTTTATGGCACAAAGACACTTGGGGCAGATAAACGTAGCACAAAGTAAGAAATATAATATGACAATTACTGCTGCAAAAGGGAGAACAGAACAACTAAACATTTGAATATATATTTCTCGGAAATCCTTAACTACTTCATCCATAACTACTTGAATAGAAAAGAGATTAACCCCAGTCGTCGTTATTGTGCACCTTAATGGCAACCAGCATACTCATCATCATCATATGGGAAATTATGGCGAGCATATATTGACGTTGATAGTGACTTAATCAGCAACCCTAATAAATTACGCTCTCATGTTCTTTTAAGCGAACAGAGAAAATCCTTTGAGTTTTTGATTTATTTAACGCTAATAAGCATAACCTCATACGATAAACTACTTACATAGGGACGTGTGCCTATGGGTGCTTGTTCTTGTTTGCTGCACCATCCTTCTTTATAAAAATTTCTGCTAGGCTATTTGGTGAATGCTTACTGAGAAATGCAAGATGACGCGTACTGTCAGGGATGAAAAATTGGCCCCGTATCTGCATGTAATCTGCAAATGCCGTCGAAAGACGATAGTCTTGCATGTGAAGAGAGCGAGCTAACATTTATTTGATGTTCTGTGCAAGAAAATTGGTGAATGGTATTCAAGAGGCGCTGCGTTAGAGTGCCTCGAGAGTGCAGTGGAGGCGAACGAGCGCATCAAGTCACGTCACACGTGAGACATGAGCCCCATGTGGTAGTTTTTTTTGCAAAACCAAGCGCTTGGCCCTGAGATGGGTGTGCGCGCCCGTATCAGAGGTGATAAGGTGTAGAACGCAAAGCAACGGGTAGGTAACACCACCGTGTCGTCTAAGCAAAGCGTTGGAAACACTCGCTTCTTCGTGCAAGCGTTGCATGATCAGTGCAGCGTGATAAGAGCTGCGATCCTTAGAATTACTTATGTATGCCTTTTCAGGTAAAAGACGAACATGCAGAGTATGTACATGTTATTATGGTGCCTCAGGTATGCCCAATAATTGCTGTTTAATTGAAAATCACACACGTATGAACGATGATCCTTGAGCAATATTGGTGGGCGCTGCGGATGGGGTCGGCTGTTCGGAATATCGGCTGGTGCTGTTTCGAGTACTCAATTCGCGGTAACGCTAAACAAACAGACAATTGTACAGACAGACAGACAGACGGACAGACAGACATACAGACAGACAGACCAAAGTTTTTGCATCGAAGGTCCCCAAGAAAGACTATCGTCTTTAAAAAATTACAGGATATCCACGAAGTGAATGATAATGAGTGGGGCGAAGCGTCTGTCTGTTAGTTCATCCATCCATCTCTCCGTCAGTGCATCTGTCTGCATGCTTGTCTGTCTGTCTTTTTGTCTGTCTGTTCGTCCATCTGTCCATCCGTCTACCGACTTGCCATTCTTCACAGTTTACCGCATATATAAGCTTTACGGAAAGGCATCATTAAACTGATAAGTTTATCAAGAATACGGCACATACAACAGAGTGAAAAAACGATAAAGATCTTGGCGAAGTTTTCAAATCTTGTTGTGCAACGGCGCCATGGGAATATCTGTTACTGATATGCCCAAACAAAATCGTGACTCTCTACGTCCCAACCACTCCTTCTCTAAGCCCCACCGCCGCGGTCCAGTGGCTTAAGTACTTGGCTGCTGACCCGCTGGTCATGAGATGGAATCCCGGCTGCAGCGGCTGTATTTTCAATGGAGGCGAAAACGTTGTATGCCCGTGTGCTCAGATTTGGAGGCACTTTAAAGGACCCCAGGTATTGAAAATTTACGAAGCCCTCTACTCAGCGTGTATCATAAAGCTATAGTGGTTTTGGGACGTTCAGCCGCACGTATCAATCAATCAACCCCTCCTGTAATTTATCAAATGACTCCTAAAAATAAACGGAGATCCTGTGAAGAAACATTTACAGTCGCATTACTGCATTATTCAAATAAATATTAAATAAAGTCACTTTTTCTACAAGTACGACGAATCCTATTTGCTGTAGACGATCACATTTATTTAGGGGTCAGGCTTTTGTTACGTATTGTATTTAGTGTTGGAAAGAGAAGAAAAAACTTGAAAACATACCTCTGTGTAATGCAACCACCTTTACAACGGCACATGAACAATTCCAAGTCGTGTAGAGAAAGCGTTCGATGCTATACAGATCTCTATCTGAAATGAGAAGAGACTAAGACACTGTGGAACAGTCGTCAAACGTTTACTCTCTAACATGCAAATATCTCGGGATGTTGGAATAATGATATTCCGTTGGCGTAAAATGTCACTCCCAGTGATGTTATCTGTCTTCACTTTGGTTATAGTGTCGCGACTACGCCCGTGTTCTGGGAAAAAACAAACAATATGGTGGTGCCGAAACCTTACAACGGATTGTACCCTTTTTGCCCACGCGCTACGGGAAATGAGGACACAGACTAATTGTTGACCTGGAACCTAGGAATATCTCTTCAGGCCGGAGGTTGTCCTGTAATGAAGCAACAACTCAGCAAGTCGATGACGCAATGCCCCTGCTTAATTGTTTTTATTGCTTCTTACTGGTGCCCTGTTACGTTTCGGAGAATAAGGGGAATCTGTCACGTGAAAGGCGTGGTTACCGCGAAAAAGTGCGTTTCTTAGCGCACTGGTGAATCGGCCATCAATATCGAACACAATTGGTGAGGCTGGCTGAAACGCGCGAAGATGCTCCAAAAAGCTTCCACTGTGGTATGAGCCGTCACTGTTTTGAATGTCACTACCTGATCGCATTGTCCTTGTGCCCAGCAATACAAAGTAACATGCGACCTACCACTGGACCAGCACAATTGGCATGCAGCCGAGAGCAGCGCCAGTCAGCTTCAGGCCAATTTCAGCGGCAGGTGATGGCAGGCCCTTTACAAAATGCGGAGTGTTTTTTACCATGGCTGTATGCCTATGCATGCCTATTTTGCCACAGCGGAAGCTTTAGGTACCCATGCCCTGAGAAGTCAGTATATAAGCACCAATCGTCGACATGCTCATTACTCCAGTCACGAACATTCCCTGCATTCACGCCGCATAGTCGCATATACTCAGACACAATTTATAGGTCACTATGCAAAGCTTGCTGGGTCGAGGTGGAAGGGTGGCTCACACCAACCTTGATCACACCGTCTGTTTTGTGGTATCAATTATAAGGACACTCTCGTATGATTTCTTGCCGTCACTGGATGATATATATATATATATATATTATATATATATAATATATATATATATATATATGTATATATATATATCTATTTACACACACACACACACACACACACATATATATATATATATATATATATATATATATATATATATATATATATATATATATATATATATATATATATATATGAAAACTGATTGGGAAATCAACGAGCAATCCGGTGCTGCATATCGTGCTGCTTTGACGACTCAGCCACTACATGCCATGCATGCGCCAGCGTACTTCGGCAAGCTATTTACAGTTACCACTTGCCGTTGATGGTATCCAGACTCGCAGGACCTTGAGGGAGTTTTCTTTCATAAAGGGCTCTACACTTTCTTACAATTTTAAAACAGCCCTTGAGGCACACACAAAACTGGGCCTTTTTTTACCCACTTGTGATGTGGAGGAGGAGAAGGAATAAAAATTATTGTGCGAAATGGTATTGCGGTGTAAGTTCCTATTCTACCCTAGCTAGGAGGCATCCTCAACTGAGGAACCCTCTTGCCTTCAGTGCCTCCTTGGCCGTACGATGAGACATCGCCATTGGTCCAGGTCTTTCGAGGCGAGCTTGGCCTCCCACGTTTTGGGAAGGTGTTCGTTTCCTATAAAAGCGTCAGAAGTATTCGGCGGCGGTGATCGATCAGTTTGTGTGTTGTACGGGCACTCGAGGATAATGCGAGCCAACTTGTCCGGCACGTCATAAATCGGGCAAATATATCAGTGTCATGTTGGTTGCAATCTGTGAATCAGTATAACGTGAGGACGACGACGAAGTGACTCTGGCGTAGAACACTGCTGTCACTATGCGTAATTTTTCAAAGTTTTTCTGTGACTCTGTGGAAGACACCGTTCCAGTGACTGCGGCGATGGACGTGGATTCGCCTGGGCTTCCACCGCAACCATTGACGTCGTCCGCAGCTACCACGAAAAAGCGTACGGGCCGCCCGAGTGATGCCGTCAGCGAACCCACGCTGATTTACTCTACGGCCAGCCACGAAAGCTCCGGTGAAGGCGACTTCGTGCCTGTGACAAGGCGGCAGCGAAAAAGAAGACTAGTGATGCCGTCTCCAACAACAAGTAAGATTGTGACGACGATGCGAGAGCCTACGATATACACAATTCTGTTTGTGCCGGTCGATGCGGCTCATAGTCTCAACCGGCTCAATCGTCAAGTCACGTCTAGGTTTCTTGAGAAACTCGCCCAGGAAGAGATCGCGGACGTGCGGATAAATGGCCGTAAGAATATCCTCGCCGTAGACGTCACTCAACGAAGCACATTGGAAGTGCTGAGCAACGTCAAGATGTTGGATAACATCAATGTTCGCTCATATATACCTGATGGCCACGACTCTACGGCAGGCGTCATTTACGACGTCGAAATTTCCATCAGCGAAAGTAACTTTGCTGCTCTCATCAAACCGGTGTCTGCAGAACTTACTATACTGCAAGCTCGTCGCCTTGGCAAACCACGCTGCGTCAAGCTAGTGTACAAGGGTGACAGCCTTCCATCGCAAGTCAAGGTCGGCCATTTTCTACACACAGTGCGACCCTTTGTACCGAAGGCCCTTCAATGCCGGAAATGTTATAGATTGGGACATGTCAGTGCTGTTTGTACAAACCTGGCTGTGTGCTCGCTATGCTCAGAATCACATAGCGCAGACGCTTGCCAGGCAGAACTTCGAAAATGTCGAAACTGTCATGGCCCTCACGAAGCATCGTCAAAAGATTGCCCAATCATGAAAAAGGAAATGCAAGTGTTGAGACAAATGGTCCGGGATGGCTCAACTCACAGGGAGGCCGCTGACCAAGTACGACGCCGGCGGTCTCGTCGCTGGAGGCCCCTGAGGAGACCCAGTGCTGAAGCAAGGATTGAACCTCACCAAACGACCGCCGGCATACCACTTCAAGCATCCAGACACGCCGATAACAAATCCTCCAAGCAAGACAAGAGCATCACCGGCTCGCCTGAAGCATGGCCAGCGCTGCCAACGATAGACCAACCGTTTGAGCCACCGCATAGCTCGTCTACAATCACTTCGGAACGAGAATGCGGTGATAGTCGCGACAAAGAAATCGTCGCCATGGTAAAGGTTCTTATGAATACCATTCGTAAGCTCCTCACTAGCATTGACAGTCCGGCTGCAAAGAGTGCACTTCAGTTAGTGGATGCGCTGAAGCCGGTGCTATCAAGTCTGGAAAGGCACCATGGCTCCGCCTCTGCAAGCCTTTCGTAAAGAGGTCAAAGGAGCTTCGATATTTCAGTGGAATGCCCGAGGCCTCAAGCCCCGCCTTTCTGATATCTGACAATTTGTGTTGAAAAACCAGTTTCCAATTATTGTTATCTGTGAGCCAAGGCTACACAATACAATACGACTATCCAGGTATGAAGCCTTCAAGTCCGCTATCTGCAACGAACAGAGTAAAGTCATTGTATATATCAAATGCGACCTTACCTATATGGAGCACCGCGTAGCACCTCACGATGACAACCAGTATGTCTGCTTGACAGTTAAACGTAGAGACCTCAGTTTCACGCTTTTAGGCGCATATATATCACCTTCAAACCGTTTTGAACCTGAAAGACTACGTGCACTGTTAACATCCACAACTGGACCATGGATCATCACCGGAGACTTCAATGCTCACCACCCACTATGGGGAAGTCAGAAGACAGACAGTCGCGGAAGGCAAGTATTCTCCTTTGCTCTGGAGCAGCAGCTGCTTTGTGTAAACGACGGAAGCCCAATGTTTCTACGGGGAACGATATTGCCACGTTCCATTTCCCAAGCTTTTGTTATCGTCCCAAAACACCACACGATTCTCAGCGCAAACCGCGCCTGCAGTTTTCGAGAGGGTTTCGGACTGTAGTAGATCATTTTGATAAGATCACACCCACTGTGCGAATGGTACAGATTGTTCTGGAACGTACGCCGCCGCCAGCGGTAGCGCTAGAACATTCGACGGCGGGAGTATAAATGCCGACGCGTTTCGCCGCTTGTCAGTTGTTGATCGAAGGCCGACGCTCCGTTCGCCGCTATCAGCCTGAGACTGCTATCTGTGCGAGACTGCTGCTGTAATTGGACTTTCTGTTTACCGGGCACAGGTTCGCCCAAATAAACAGTTAAATCCCAACAAGAAGTCTCCTGTCTTCGGCCACGTCACGACCCCGTGACATCTGGTGGAGGTGCTGCTTCGTTCATGTACCGGACGCCCCCATCAAGCCGTGAACCCAGCCCACGTCGCGGAGAAGACACCGACGCCAACCAGGAGCAGCGAACAAGCCGCCGACAGCAAGGGCTACCACCGGAGTACGGGCTTCTACACGACAAGGCGCGGAAGACCAAGGCCATGACCACGACTGCAGCGACAATGACAACCGCAGCGTCCCAGCCCACGATGGTCATGCATCAACCGAGGGAACCACCAATTTTCCATGGGTCATCGTTTGAAGACCCGGAGTCCTGGCTAGAAACATACGACCGTGTGGACGCCCTCAACCACTGGGACCATGACGAAAAGCTGCGTCGTGTGTTTTTCTATTTGGAAGACACCGCAAGGACCTGGCTCGAAAATCGAGAGTCCAAGCTCCGAACGTGGGATGTTTTCTGCGGCGGCGCATTCCTGCAAACGTTCGCGAGCGTCGCTCGAAAAGAGAGGGCCGCTGCTTTATTAGAGACCCGGGTTCAGCTACCAAATAAAAATGTCGCCATTTTCACAGAAGAAATGACCCGACTATTCCGTCACGCTGACCCAGACATGCCTGAGGAGAAAAAAGTGCGTTTCCTCATGCGAGGGGTCAAACAGGAGCTCTTCGCGGGGCTGATCAGAAACCCACCGAAAACAGTCCGAGAATTTGTAGCCGAAGCGACCACTATCGAAAAGACCCTGCCATGCGCACCAGACAGTATAATCGTCGCCTGACTGCAGACTGCACTGCTGC